AGAAAGTGGTCACACCTCTAGAGTGTTGATGATGGGAGGCAGAAAGGTGCAGAAGGATAGCTTTAATTCCAGGCAGGGAAATACACATACGCCATAGAACAGGCATATGAAGCTAGAAAACTTATAGTAATAGATGAAAGAGATGGAGGAAAGAGGGGAAAAAGAGAAAAGACAGAAAAATATGAAAAATGGAATGGGACACATTAAAAAAAGTGTACTTTCTTATTGTGAGGAGAGGGTGTTTATTATTATAGGGAAGGGAAAGGAGATGAGGAAGAGGAGATATGGACCAAAGATTTGATAAAACAAAATCAAAAGAATGGAATGAACCCCAAGAAAAAAGCAGAAGTAGTGCTGGGATGGAAGGGTAAACCTACCTGGGGGTGGACAAAGGTAGGCAGGCCTAGGTGCTAATGGGAACAGGTGCCAGTGGAGACGGGAGTTGAGAGACCTTCTTCCTCTTCTTTACCCCAGCCACCCATACTTGCCACCTTATTCTCAGACTCTTAGGCCCACTTCCCACAATGCACCAGAGATGGTGGGTTGGGGCCATTGAAGGCCCCTGGGCATGGTTGTTCACACCATTTGGATGAGCAGGGAGTCATCAAATACAATACCTCTGTTACATTGGAGGACCACCAGGCCTTACCATCTTCCCTGCCACTGTATCCTCAGCATCATTGGGTCTTTCCATCCATCCCATTGCTGAACCCTCTTATATGTATTGTCTCCCTGAATTAGAGTGTAAGCTCCTTGAGAACAGGGACTGTCTTGATTTTCAATTTGTATCTCCAGTCCTTAGCACAGTGCTTGGTGCAGAGTAAGCATTTACTTTTTTTTCTATTTTTTTTTTAATTAGAGAAATTAGCAAAACCTTACCAACATAAGGGTAAACATTTCCTTGGTACAAAATATGGGTCACATTCTGTTAGTTGGTTTCTGTTTCTCTTTCAGCAGCTTAGGTCTCAGGCTTTTGGCAGTCACCTGCATGATCTTCATTTCAAACTCCTGGTCGTTGATAGTGAACACAGCACAGAACCACAGAGCTTATACCTCTGCCAGGGACATCCTAAAAGTCACAATTCTGGTAGAATTACTTAGTCTTCACATCCCTTTTGGGAATCTCTTCTTTGGATCCCATATCCATTACCATCCTGAATGACTTTGGCAACTGAGATGACAGAATGGAGAGCAAGTTGAGGGAGAGGGGATGAGGAGAATGAGGCCCACCAACCTGAGCCATGGGGCTGGAAGAACATGCATGAAGATACCTGAAACATTTTCCTATCAGTTGAGGATTCTAATTTTTCGGTGGAAGGAAAGGTAGGAGAGCAGGAGAGCACTGAGACACTTTTTTTGGGTTGGTGAGCATGAAATCACTCTGGTGAGAAGCCTGGATCAAGTGAAGGTTTAGAGGGGGGAATGGGAGAAGGGTGGGATCACCAGAGTTGAGTAATACTACATGTGGAGAATGACCCTCAAAGGCTATACACCAAAGGACCATATGCTTTGCCAAGTCCTACCTAGCTGGAAAGATTTTGAAGATGTGTCAGTGATGAACTATGTCCAGGTTTAACCTAGCTAAATTCTGAGAAGTTCATCACCAGAAGGTCAGCTATCATGAGATTTTTTTTGGCCATAGCAATTTATGAAACCAGCTACCAAAGCATAGATGGGTAGCAATCTACAGTGGGGGAGAGAGTGCCCTCACCTATGACATCATTAAACTTTTAGAGTATTGAAATATCATTCAGAACAACCCTATGTGGCATGAGAAAGTATTGTAACCCCCCATTTTTCTTAACATGAGGGATCTGAAGTTTAGAGAGGATGATTAACTTACGATAAATCACAAGGTTATCCCCTAACTCTGCAGAACCCTGACTTGAACCAGAATCACTTAATCTCAGCTAGGGAGGGGGAAGGGAAGGGATGGAAGAGGGACAGAACTTAAAACATAAAAAAACTTTAGAAAAAATGTTAAAAATTGTTTTAACATATAAATTTGGGAAAATGTTATATATACGTATATAAGTATATATGCATACACATACACATATATATTTATATAATGTGGAGGTGTGATCTATAATATCTATGTCAATCGGTATGATATGTGTATGATTATACTAACTGTTTAAATTTCTAGGGCACCCTGACTTGGAAGCTTAGGTGGTAGCTGAAGTGATTGATCAGATCCCCTGACATGCTTAACAATGCCCCTTGCTTGTAACTGCCAAGTGAATGGAACCAGATGCCTTGCTGCTGCTCCTGGACAACCCTAGTTCTGTGCCCTGAACAACCACAAGACTCAATGACCCTAACAACTTTGTGGTCCAACCATTTGTAGTTTTTACACTTAAAAAACCTGCCCCTGTTATAAGCGAGTGAGCCCCCTTCTTAGGAAGGTGGACTTCACTTGCAAGTTGTTTTACTCACTTTGAAATTAAACATCTGTTTGATTCCTGACTCACCTGCCTCTAGCTTGCTCTGTTTGGCTGTATCCATTCATAGGTTAGAGGTCGTTTGGGTTGGGTTGACAATATGCATGTGTGTGTGTGTGTGTATAGGACCTGGGTGGCCATCTCATTCAATTTATGACCTAGGGGAGGTCCTCCTCTGGTCCGCAGACAGAAATGTCCTCTATTTCTTATTGAAAAAGTGATCATTTAGCTTTTGCTTGAAGACCAATCTTGAGCGGGAGTCAACTACTTCCTGAAGCAATCTGTTTTCTTTTTAGGAGGTTCTACTTTTTGGAAAGCAGTTTCTTACATTGAACCTAAAGCTGCCTCTCTGCAACCTCTACCCACCATTCCCACTTTTTTTCCTCTGGGACCAAGCAAAGCAAAGCTAATCCCTCTTCCATGGAGGAGCCCTTCAGATACTAGAACACAGCTGTCATGTCCTCACCCAAGTTTTCTCTTTTTTCTGTTTAAACATTGCTAGTTCCTTAAGCTAATTTTCATATGGCTTGACTGCCATCCCAGTTGCCTGCCTCTAGACACTCTCCAGCTTATCTGTAGTATCCTTCCTAAAATATGGGGCCCAGAACTGAATATATTACTCCACATAGGTTCTGACCAGGATAGAGTGTAGTAACACCATCACCTCCCTTGTTTTGGAACTAAGGTTCCAACCCAGGAAGGAATTATCATTTTTTCAGCTTCCACATCACATTGTTGACTCATGTAACATTACATTTCCACTAAAACAAAGTCTTTGGACTTTAAGCCCTGTGTTTTATCCACTATAACATTCCTATCTTCTTCCTAGTTCTGTTATTAATTCTCTGAGTAATCTTTGGCAGGTCACTCATCCACTCTGGGTATTCTATAAAATAGATTCTATTCTAGCTCTGATTTTTCATGATTTTTTGATCTTCATTGTATAGGGCTAGTTTGTCATCAGACCCTGAAAAAATTAATTTTGTCTTCTATATGAAAGAGGGTGGAAGTTGAGGGAACACAGTGGCATTCAGTGATCATCAGATCCAGGTTGTTTTGATGATTATGGGTGAAGTTTCCAGGGTTTAAGTGCCTCTTTGAGGGATTAAATAGTGAAGTTGTTGAGAGAAGTCTGACATTTTCTTTAAAAGGACCCCTTGAATTCGTAAAACACACACAACACATTAGTCCTGTGCTTTTTTAAAAGCAAAAGAACACAATGAGGTCATGATGTATCCCTGAGAAAAAAATACCCTTGCAGTTCATGAAACTCTTGACATATACTATGTAAATACCTTAGCATATTTAATGATCCTTTGTAACAGATGAGTTTTATCCACCTACACTTGTGCCGCTAATAGACTGGGGGTACAGCGTGGTGTTAAAAGGACCAGATTTTTTTTTGAGGTGGGGTGAGGGTGGATTTTATTGGTATATGGAACTCTAAGTGAGGAAATTCTATTAACCAATACACATTGATACCTGTCTGGCAACTTAGTCTTACCAAGGTACAGAACAGGGCTGTTAGAGATTTTAAGTGTTTTTCCAAGACTCAAATGTGTGTCACAGTATGTCAATGGCAGAATTTGAACACAGATCTTTTTGATGCCAGAGGCCACCTCCATATTCACAATGACATGCTGCCTCTCTTAGTTCTAATTAAGATTGTCATTAACTGAGACTTCGTGGGGGACCTCTTATTTCTTTGTTCTTCAGTTTCATTGTCAGTAAAAGGAAGCAAGTTCGACTAAATGACCTGTAAGGTCTCTTCTTGTTCTGAAATTCTTTGATTCCTAGGAAAGGAGGGCAGTCTTCCCAACTCTGAGTTTTAACTATGTTGTTTTAGACATAGACCCTATTAGGATTTTCAGAAGATGGAGAAAATGGGGATGAGAAGGAAGTTCTTTGCAATTCAGAGCATTTTGGGGAACAGGAAAAAAACACCTTTTCTTTGCTATGATGCTGATTGGGCTTCTAGCTTGGGGCATTTTGGTCTTCTGTTGCCACATTTGAAGGTGAAATTGAAGCTGAGGACTTTGTAGAGTGGATTCTGGTTTGGACCAGATGACCTCTGAGGTGTCTCCCATCACTTTGATTTTATGCAGAGACATGTTTCTGCTTGTGGAAGCAAGGAGTGAGGGAGATCTAGTCCTCTTATTTTGCTCCTCTTGGTTTTTTTTTTTTAAAGTAGGAAAACCTAGAAGATCTCTATTTAGAGCCTTTGACTTATGCTTTGCGGATGTTTTCAGCCCTCTCCAAGCAATCCCAGGCTCGCTCTAGGCTGAGGGACGATCCCATCCTCAGCAGGTACTCCTACCTTGGTCTGGCTGGCCTGAGGCTGAAATGAAGGAAAGCGGGTAGGAGGCAGGCGCCCTGGAGAGAGAGGGTGGATGGGAGAGGAGAAAGGAGCTTTATCCAGGACCAAGGAGAGAAATAAGGAAAGAGAGAGCTCAAGAGAAGAAGGGGCGGGGAACGGGGTGTGGAGGGTGGGGAGGGGCTAAGAGTGAGAGGGTGGAGAGAAGGGGCTGGAGTGAGACGATGGAGGAAGGAGTCAGTGAGGGTGGGGAGCACAGCCCTGGAAGAGTGTAGGGACTATTTTGCACTGGGCTGAGGTTCCCCAGGGTGATCTTGCTTCTGCTCCCGCTCGGATTCCTACTGCTACCTCTCCAGCTTTCCAATACTTTCTGGCCAGGGAGACAGAAAGTGGACTGGAGTTCGGTGCGGGATGCGGGTGCGCCTGGGTGCCCTAGCCGGGGCTGCGGCGCTGTCGGGGGCGCTCAGTTTTGTCCTCCTAGCAGCTGCCATCGGCACAGACTTTTGGTACATCATCGACACTGCCCGGTTGGAACAGCGCGGCCCGGGGGGCCCGAGGGTAGGCGGGGCCCGGGATCCCGGTGGTGGCTATGCCGGAGAAGGCTTTAACCAGAGCCAGCTGGAGCCGCTCAGCTCGCACTCTGGGCTCTGGAGGACCTGCCGGGGTAAGGGGCCTCTGTGTGTGTGTGTGTGTGTGTGTGTGTGTGTGTGTGTGTGTGTGTGTGTGTGTGTGTGTTGTGTAACAAGTTCGGGGAATCCGGACGCAGCAGGGTCTCTGCTCTGCTCCCACTTTTCCTCTCCTCCTGAGACAGCTCTCCAAAGCTTCCCATCTCTCCTGCCAGTCCCTGGCATCCTCCTCCCTATCTACCTCCCTGATCCAGCTCTACTTAGCCCTCCCAGGCTAAGCTTTTCTGTGATGTCCTGCCATCTCCTATACCTTTCTCATTTTTTTCCCTGCCGCGGGTCTACCTCCATCTCTATCACCTTGTCTCTATTCTGCTCAGTCCTCCAGCCAGACACTCAGGTTTTCCCCAGGGCTCTAATCTTGGGGTTAAAAAGTCCTAGAGCTGTTAGCTCAGAGATCTCACAGCAAGAGCCAAACTCAGAACTCCTAAGGGGAGTTGGCGGATGAGAGTAGTTTAGGGGAGGGAAAGCAGTAGAGGCTGTCGATGAGGAAGACGGAGTCCTAGCCACGAAATCCTAGAGTTACTGTCTTCTGATTTAAGGGAACTTTTTGCTGAAGACCGTGCGTGCGTGCGTGCGTGTGTGTGTGTGTGTGTGTGTGTGTGTGTGTGTAAATGGGTGCAATTGGGAGATCCTCCCCCACCCCCGAAGTGCCTTAATTTGTGGGTTGGAACTCCCAGTTTGCAAATGCACTTACTACTAAAAGGTTTGACCTCTCATGTTACTTACGTTCTTTTTACCTTTCCTCCATCGATAGTCCAAAGCAAGTGCACACCCCTGATGAACCCCTTCTGGCAGGAGAATGTGACTGTCTCGGACTCAGATAGACAGCTTCTCAGTGAGTGTCTTACTCTAGGGATTGTGGTGGGGATGGGAAATTCTCCGGGCATCTTCGAGGGTTGGTGGGTGGGTGGAACATTTTCAAGCTAGAGACACAAGCACCTTAGGGTCTTCTCCAGCTACCGCTAACCTACACTTACATCCATAGATGGAAGCAAGGAGATTTGTGTGCATGGTGGGGGATAGATCCTAGCCTTGGGGAGGGGTCCTTTAAAATATGAGTCAGTTTCCACAAATCATGCCTTTGCTCCGTTGAAAGGATTATAATACACACTATCCCTCACACCCTCTTCTCCCTTCTAGCTGAAATGGATAGATGGGGGACTAAGAGTCAGTAATCCCCAAGCTCAAATCTGTCAGCCAGCCCAGAAGAAAAGTTTGTACCATTAAACAAAAATCTGCCTACTAAAATGCTGTGGGATCCATACTAGAAATTCACAGACTTTTAGAACTGAAAAGGACCTTGGAGAGATATCTTATGCTAAGCCCTTCATAAGGAAATGAACTTACTCATGGTTACACTAGTTACAGACAGAGAAATGATAAAACCCAGTTCTATTCACTAATACTTAATAAGAACAATAGCTAACATTTATATGGCACTTACTATGTAACATGTGCTTTACCATTATCATCTCATTTAATCATCACAACAACTCTGGGAGATAGGTGCTATTATTATCTCCATTTTACAAATGAGGCAATTGAGGCAAACAGAGGTTAAGTGACTTACCTGAGGTCCATGGTGGTGTCTGAGGCTAGATTTGAACTCAGGTCTTCCTGATTCTAGTTTTGATCTTCTATCCATTGTATTACCTAGCTGCCTTAGACTTGCCCTACTAGTCTAGGGTGTTTGTATTACTACCATGCTGCTTTTCTTCTTTAATTTATATTGATTTAGTGCCCACAGTGTGGGGCTGTGGGGAATTCTTCCCACCATTCTATGATTGAGAACAGATTATTCTGGGGGCAGCTAGACGGTGCAGTGGATAGAGCACTGGCCCTGGAGTCAGGAGGACCTGAGTTAAAAATCTGGTCTCAGACACATAACACTCACTGTCTGTGTGACTCTGGGCAAGTCACTTAACCCCAATTGCCTCACAAAAAAAGAGAATATGTTATTTCACAAAAGGTAAACTGGGGCACTGAGGGGGTTTGCTCCACCCAGTCCATTGCACGCTTTAGTCACAGAGTGACTGATGTCAAGGGAATGAACTGCTAGGCATCCTGGGGTAAATGGCATAGTATAAGTGTGGTGTTCTCTGAGGACAGGAGAGACTTTCATAAACTTGGGGGTAGAGTGGGAGAAGAAATGATTGTACATAATAGAAAGGGAAGAGAATGTCAGCTCCCTTCAGAATGATGACAGTGCATGGATTCAATCGAGCCTGGGGACATTTGTTTTTTTTAATTTTGAACTTATACACCTTGCCCCTTGCCCCAGGAGCATTTCCATATATACACAAAAAGGATTGTCTATGATACCATGAATCTCCATTTCATATTGCTTTAAAAAAGAAGTATATTAGAAATTGCACACCTTTTTTTTTAAAACTGTCTTCCTTATCTGTGCTTCCTTCTGAACTTCCTTCTATTTTCCTTTTGTGCATTTAAAAATGTTTCAATGGCCCTCTTTTTTGGACATCAGTGTCACTAATCCTTTCTCCCCCCCTTTAAAAACAGAGAAAAATTAAAAAAAAACTCCACCTCTTATAATGAAAAAAAAAAGCATTGTCAAGCAAAACAAATTCATACAGTGACTATGTGCAAAAAATGTATGTCTCTTTCATACCATGAGTCCATCATCTCTGTCAGGAGGTGGGTAAAATGTTTCATTATAGGTCTTCTGGAAATGGTTGGTCATTGCATTGATAATGTTCTTGAGTCTTTCAAAGTTTTTTTCCCCTTTACTATGTTGTCCTTGTTTAAATTGTTTTCTTTCTTTTTACTCATTTTATTTGTATTTGTTCAGACCACTGAGAATTCTCTGCATTTGTCTCTTTCATCGTTTTTCTGCATTGAGTGCATAATCATTTGCAAAAAACCGTCATGCACTAACTCTCCCTCTACTTTGGTCTTGGCTTGTAGCCTTTTCAAGTTAAAATAATTTACTGTCAGTGCAGTAGCTGACCTTGATGCTAGTTTTGCTCTCATGGAAGGCATCTGACAACATTACTGAAAACTTCTAGTGTTTTACTAATATCCCGAGGCAGGATACAGTGCCTGATACTTAATAGATATTTGTTGATTGATTGGTAGGGGATGTCCTCTGCAGTTCAGTGAGATCTGATGTAGGGAAGGTAACCTTTGCTTTTACATTGTTCTAGGATGATGGGAGGGAACAGCTGTGTCCTGAATTAAATCCAGGACACTGCTCGGGCTTCGACCTTGTTAATACAAGCTTGTCAATTCATTATTACTCTCTTGACTTCTTGGTTGAAGAATCAAAGTCAAGACTGAGGGCCAACATTTCTATAGAAGGGAGATTATATCAAAACTTCACTCACTGTTCTGTTCTTTTGGAAAATGATGAGGCTAGGTCAAGAGGTTGGTTTAAGATCAGATGAAAACTTATAACTTATCTGAGGGTAGAAGCAGATTGTCTCTTCAAACTGATTCTTCTTAGTAAGTTATCTCAGAGAAAGCTTCTTCCAAGTCTCATTTTCCAAAAGAAAAGTTATAAAATTTGACTGAAACTCCTTCACTATTTCAGAGTTGTCCCTCTTGAATACTAGGAACAATTTCAGTCCCCAGATTTTTTCTATGAAGCTAAAGAAGTCAGAAAGGAGAGGAACAGGCATCAACAGAAGTTGCCATCACTTCTTAGCCTTCTGAAGTCATTGTGGGGAGGGTGAAGCTCTATGAGCAATCCTTTTCACTTTTGAGAATTCATTAGTGACAAGCAATCTACTGAGATGAAATGGCAAACAGTGAGTGCTGTTATGGCTTATCATACCCCATAATCTATCTTAACACTCTAATTTTATTAGAGCAGCTCAGTAAATAGTACTCAATAGGAACATTGGTCTGATGAATGGGGAGGGTATTTATTCACTGTACTACAATTAGGGTTGGAGGGAGAGGTAAAGTTTTTTGTCTAGGTTTAAGAAGCAGCTTCTGTGTGGGCAAATTGCTATCTAGACTTAACATTTGTCTTTTTATCATCTTTAAAATTAGCTCTGAGCACTTGTGGTAGCTGGAATGGAAGATGGAATTACTGCTGTCTGGGAAGGAAGAGTTCACTGAATGCTCATCCAATTGGTTTGAGATATGAGAGTAAAACTTTGAAGTGTTACACTGGGAAGTAGAATCTCAGATCAAATGTGATAATATGTGAAATGCTTTGTAAATTTTTAAGCACTATGGAGGGTATCCCAAAATTCTTAAGCTTGAAATAGTATTAAGACTTTTGGGACAGCCTATAAAATGCCAGTTAGCTATTATTATTATCAAGAAAGATTTTTAGTTTCTCTCTGTAGAATGGAGTCAATAGTCAATCAATTAATAAATTGACAAACTTTTTTTTTTAGGCAATTGGGGTTAAGTGACTTGCCCAGGGTCACACAGCTAGTAACTGTCAAGTATTTGGTCTGAGGCCAGATTTGAACTTAGGTCCTCCTGACTTCAGGGCTGGTGCTGTACCCGTTGTGTCACCTAGCTGTCCCTGACAAAGATTTATTAAGCACCTACTATGTTTCGGATATCTTACTAGGCTCTGGTGATGCAAAGACAAAAATGAAGTAGTCTCTGCCTTCAAGGAATTTACATTTCTTTGGGGGAAAATTACATACACACACACACACACATACAAGCATATGTATGAATAGGTACATTGGTAGGCAGTTAGGTGGCTTAGTACACAGAGCCCTGGATTTGGAGTCAGGATGATATGAGTTTGAATCCTACCTCAGACACCTACTAGCTGTGTGACCGTGGGTAAGTCACTTAACCTCTTGACCTCAATTTCTTCCTCTGCAAAATGGGGATAATAATAAAAGTGTCTTCCTCTTAGGGTTGTGAAGATCAAATGAAATAAAATACGTAAAGTTCTTTGCAAAGCTTAAGATGCTATATAAATGGAAGCTATTATTAAATATATGCAAAGTAAATATAAAACACAAGGACTTGAGTGGAATCTTCGCTCTAAAGAGGGAAGCATTTGGGAAGGCATCCATGTAGCCATGAGTGTGTATACACTCCCAGACTGGAAGAACCTATTCAGTGTTTTAGATCCCAATGATAGATTGTCTATTGTATGCATTCATAGCAGCATTGTAGGGGAGGTAGAGAAGACCAGAGAGGCTACTTGATGTGGTGCAAAGCATGTTGGCTTTTGAGTCAGAGGAACTGATTCTCATTTCAAAGACATCACCTTGCTGAAAAAGGTCTTTATAGCCAAAGCTATGGTTTTTCCAGTAGCAATGTATGGTTGTGAGAATTGGACCATAAGGAAAGCTGAGCATTGCAGAATTGACACTTTTGAATTATTAGTTCTGGAGATGACTTTGAGATTCCCTTGGACAGCAAGGAGATCAAATCAGTCAATACTTAAAGAAATTAATTCATACTATTTACTGGAAGGTCAAATAATGAAGCTGAAGCTTAAATACTTTGACCACATAATGAGTAAATAGGACTAATTGGAAAAGACTCTGATGTTGGGAAAGATTGAAGGCAAAAGGAAAAGGGGATGGCAGAGGATGAGATGGATGGATAGTATCATGGAAACAGCAACATGAACTTGTACAGACTTTGAAAGACAGTGGAGGATAGAAGGGCCTGGTGTGCTATGGTCCACAGGGTCATGAAAAGTCGGACACGACTGAACAGCAACATGTTTGCAAACTAACATTTAGCCTTGAGAATTAGGTTTATATCTACAGCACGTATTTTTAATCTTTTTATGTCATGGTGAAGCCTATGAACTCCTTCACAGTGATACTTTGAAATGCTTAAAATAAAATATTACAAAGGAAACCAACTGTATTAAAATAGTTA